CTTTTGAAGGTCTAATGCAATCACAAACAATTTGTTTTGTATATGTTTAAAAATTCATCATTTTCTTGTACAATGGAAAAAACCAGCACTTGTAGCTCATTAGTGGTGGGATTCACAAAACATCTGGCTTTTCCTTTTGATGTAATTTCTGTGTGACTAAAACTCTGCCTTCATTTTGAGTGGTTCAAATGAGGAGGTAAAATCACTCCGCCAGAAACTCATGGCATGTGCCCATGAGTCAACCTGGGTAATCTTACAGTTTCAGACAGTTATGTCTTTTTTTCCCTCTGGCATATTCTGATCTCTTCCTGGGATATGGGAGAAGCCCTTTCTGCTGACCCTCTCACAGGGAGGGTCTCTGTTCCTTGGCTCTTTGTTCTGTTAGAGCCCCTGCAGATCCCTGTGCTCAGTGCTGTACAAATGTTTCAGAGCACAGAGCCTGGTACTGAACTCCCAGCTTTCAGTAAGTGACAAAAAGGTGGTAGGATTGTCCCTGCCCTACAGCTGTGGGTGTTAGGAGAGGTTTTTAAGGGCCAAGCACATAAAAATGCCACTGAATTCAGTGCTTCTGGAATAAACCAGACTGAGCAATCTGGCCAACCTCACTTGGGATATCTGTGGTTGAGCTGGGAATTAACCAAGCCCTCTTCTTCCCACTCCTTAACCACAAACCACTACTTATTTTTGAGTAGCTGACATTTGACTGTAAGCTGAATGTTCAGAAAGAATAAAGAGACCCTGGGAGCCTCAGCAGATGAAGAGTCAAGTGCTGATCACAAGGAAGACTGCTGGGGTAAAGCTTGGGCAAGGTCTTTAGGGCTTACTCCAAAGCACACCAGAGTCAGGAAAAGCTTCTTCGAAATGTCAGGTCAGGAACTTACTGCTGCTGTGTCAGATGTTAGAACTGTTGCTGCTGTGTGCTACTAAAATAATAGTGATTTTCTTCTAGGGCAACAAATCACACTGCCCAGGTTGATAAGGAGGAAAATGTGACCAGACAGCATAATTTCCAAATTTACAGAAATGGTGAAATATACTGGGTCTGCAAAATCTGCTTAAGGCAGAATGTATTTTCCTTTGCACAGGGTTAACAACATTGTTGAACTATTCAGCTGCTCCTGACAAGAGAGGTGAGAAAGCACCTGTAAGCTCCACAAAGCCACACACAGAACTTCAGAGCAGGATTTTCTGCCCAAGTGACTCAGCAGCAGCTGACAGCTCCTGATTCCACCTCCTGCCATGTCTGTCAGTCTGGGCAGATTTGTACATTTGTAGAGTTTAATCCATTTCCAGCCTAGTGGAAAAGTCAGAAATCCAATGGAGATCTGTACCTGCCTGGCATGGCTGTGCAGGGCTCAAGATGCAACTGATCTCTTTTCATCAAGGTGTCTGTTTCCAGATAAATGCACAGAACACTCTGAGGGCTCTCAGTTCACTGGGAGACGCTAACATCCCTCCTGGATCAGCTTTATCCAGTGGATGTGCACGTGCCCTGCTGCCAAGGCACAGCCATGTGCTCTGCTGGTGAATTATTGGGACACACAAGACAGATGATGGATGGACTTTGGACCTGGTCAGCATAAGAGATTTGATAGACAAAATGCCTTGGCCAGAGCAAGCAGAACTTTTGAGGATTAAATCAAGATTGCAAGAAGATTCAATCAGACTGACTTATCAGAAGCAGAAAATTACACCAGACTTCTGCAAGCAAGAGAGGTTTAAAATGTAGAAGTTTGTTTATGTGATGATTAACCCAATCACTGTAGTAAAACATTACTAGTTTTCCTAGAATAAGTATATAAGCAGTTGTACTCCACAGTACATTTGGATTCTTTGGCCATCTCAGAGTCTCTCTTTCCAACACTGATAGTGGATCCCCTCTGCCTCCAGTTACACACATTTCCCTTGTTACTCATGTCCTCCTGTAGCTATCCTGGTAGTCTGACAGGTTGCAGTTTACATTCCTGAGGCAAAACCTCATTTCCAAGGTGCATCCACTAGTTAGAGTACCCTGGAAACAGGTTTCACTGGCATGGTCCATCCCTTGCAGTCTCCAGCTGTTTGATCTCCCCCGTGGCAATCATGTCAGACAGAAAAAAATTACTTTCACAGAAGAATCTGTCTTTCCAAAAGGGATTTACAGGCAGTGAAAAGTCAAGCTGCCATGAAGCTGTGTGCAAGCTGCTGATGGGGGCTGTGTCACAGAGCGTTTTAGGTCACTTAAAACATCACCAACAAAGGTATTGGCCAAAGCAGGTTCAGTATAAAACAGAAAGCATGACAAAGTTCATGGGCAAGATTCTCTCTGCTACTTACTAGGTGAATAAACACACAGAAGAAAAGCAAACTAAAATCCAAAATCAATCCATCTAAAATCAGAATCAGCCCAAAAATTGTCTTGGTGAAGGCTGGGGGGGTGGAGGGTGGGGGCAGAGAGGTGAAGGGGTGAGCATAGGGAGGGTGAGGCTAAAAAGGAATATTAGAGACCCTCTGGTTGAAGCACAAGGTTCAGAGTAGACCTTTGTACTTACAAAGGGTGACCCAGGGTTGTGTCAGGAGCCAGAGCTGAGGAGAAGCCCAGGCTGGTTGTCCCCAGCCCTGCCTCAGGAGATCACTTCAAACACCCCTGCCAGCAGAGCAGCTCCGAGCTCAGGTGGCTCCAGTCCAGCTGTGCCTGTGGACACAGCTGAGGAGGGGTCTCCTCATCCCCCAGACACTTCCCAGCTTCTGGGAGGTTCTGTTTCACTCTATTTAGACATGCTTGAAAGGGTACCAGCTGCAAACCACCAACTTCAGCTGTGAATTTGGACTGTGCTTTTGGAGCTGAGTTTATTTCCTTGTCACTGGATATGTCTGGAGGAGGCTGCTGCTTCTGTATGAAATATTTTTATGTGCATATGACACTCACATACATAATTATTAATTTTTCTTTCCTTGATATAAGGTACCAGCTACTTATCTGCTCAAACAAAATTTTTCCAAAAACTAAATATGTGTTACCCACCTATGGGTCCAGTCATTTGAAACTCTCAGTGTTTGTGAGGCTGGAACAGTTTTGGGGTGGCTAGGCTGGTTCTGCAGCTCCTGGAACAGTTTTGGGGTTTTCTCCCAGCACACTTACAGGACTGAGATGGCCCTGGGGAGGGGATCAGGCTGGGACCTCACAGTTCAGTGACAGGAGAAGGCTCCTTCCCCAGGCACACATTCTGTGGAGTGTCATGTTTCTCAGTGCTGCGTTTTCAGGCTATTTGTAAGAGAATCCCATCTGTCTCCTGCACAGCTTCATCTCCCCACCTGTGCTTCTGGCTTGTCTGGGGCTTACCTGAGGATTTAGCTTAAAGGAACAGTATTTGCAAAGGGAAACAAGTTGTCTGACATGTTATTTAATCTGTGTCAACATGAGGAGTTTCATTCATTTATTTATTCATCCATCCACTTATTTTTTACACCTTGCTGTAAACACATGGCTGTAATCACTGTGAGGTGCTGCAGTTTGAAGGGATGCCCTGGTAAAACATGACAGCTTTTGTCTTTCCTCAGAGCTCCCAGAGCTTCAGATGGAAGAAGATGGAGAATTAGAAAGTGATCTCATTATCCTCTATTGTGCATTAACAAAACCCTGGCACTAACACAGTGAATACATATGGACTTGAAAATAATTGCTTAGTGCAAGTTGGGTTTGGATTTTTCCTCTCACTTTATTATCTGGATGCTGAAGGGAATATTAGTGAATTGTAGCATGGGAAAGTAGGTCAACATCAAACCTGGATGGAGGGGAAATGTGGTCAAAAAGTACAAGACTGACCCTCTTATAGTGGGCAATTGAAAGATACTCTGAAATTACAGTCAGAATGATCCGACAGCTCTTCCTCTGCTTGTGCTTTTGAAGAGCTTGGCAGTGAAACTGTTGTGTAGGCATGTCCTTAAAATAAAGAAAGGAAAAGAGAAAGAACCCTGTATTGAGTTAGACAGAAAAGTCAAATGTTTCTGTTGCTGCAATTGAGATAATAAATTAAAAAATATTTCAGAAATTTCTGTCTCTCTCCATGAATGCCAAGGGGATTAGACGTGTCCTGGAGGAGAAGCTGCCCAGGGTGGCAGAGGGTGGTGGGACAGGATTGATGGCTGTGCTGCTGAGCCATGCACAATGCTCAGCTTTGGGAGGGCTTTGCTCTAATGAAACCTCCAACCCTCCCCTGCCTTGCAGCCCCTGAATAGCAGCAGCCAACACTGAGGAGAAGCTCAGCACAATGGAAGAAGGGTCAGACTGAAAAAGTGGAACTGGACTTAAAAAGTGCTGGAGATAAGGGGACAACAGGAGTGTAAGAGAAAATGTTGTGGTTGTGAGGGTCCCAGGACGAGGGAAGTGATGAATCTTACTCCATATTCTTAGAAGGCTGACATATTATTATATTATATTATATTATATTATATTATATTATATTATATTATATTACATTTTTTATTATTATATTATATTAAATTATATTATATTATATACTAAAACTAAACTATAGAGAAAGAGATACATCAGAAGGCTAGAAAAGAAAGAATAATAAAAACCCCTGACTCCTCAGAGCCTGGACACAGCTGGACCATGATTGGTTATTAAGTAAAAGCAATTCACATGGAACCAATGAAAGAATCACCTACCACATTCCAAAGCAGCAAAACACAAGGAGAAGCAATCACATAATTATTATTTACATTCTTCACTGAGGCTTCTCAGCTTCCCAGGAGAAGAAATCCTGGCGAAGGGATTTTTCAGAAAACACCACAGTGACAAGAAAAAGTTGTGGGGTTTTTTTCTTTGCCTTTGGTGAGAGCTGCTTGCAGCATTCCCTGCTGGGAAAGGCATTGCTGTGGGAGATGAGGTTTGTGCACAGGGATTTCAGTGCATTCTCCCAGGACTGGCCTGTCTGTAATGGCTGCAGGGAAGGGCCTGAGCTAACCCATCCTCCTTTTGTCTCCCCTTTCTTTCTGGGCCTGCAGGGATGAAGCAGAGTTCCATTTTGTGAGGTGCCTTTGCCAGCAGAGCACACTCCTCCTACCCCAGGGTACAGTTTCCATGTAAGAGAAAAGGCAAAGTTTCTGTACAGCAAAGGAAAGCAGGTGGGAGAAATGAGGTGAAGTGCTGGTGTGCCACCTGTCTTCCTTAATGTCAGGAGGGGAAGGTGGGCTTAAAACACATCAAACTCAACACTTCCTCTAAACTGCACTGTTCTACAGCTCAGTGGACTAAAAAAGGATAAAAGTGTCATTTCTTCTCACAGGTGGTGTAGGGAGTGTTGACTCAGTTGACTGTAATTTGGAAGAGTGTTGGTCTGATTTAGCTCTGGGAGCACAGAAATGCCACTTTTGGCACAAGGGAAGTTTTGGATCAAGCTGCTATGAACCACTTAAGTCTAGTCAGCAAACTGAAAAATAATTTTCCCATTGCCAGCCTGATAAATGACCTGATGCTCAGGTGGAGCCCCAGTCTTTGAGATCCAAAATCTGCTTCATTACAGGTGCATTGACATGAAAAACACCAGGGTGATGAGGGTTTTTTAAACAAAAGAAAAACCAAGGATTTTAATTAAAAGGAATTATGGTTCTTCATTTGCTAATCACATGTCTTTTTTTAACAGTTGTCACAAACATCTCCAGGACTGTGGCAAGGACAGAGCACAAGGTAAAGAAACCTGGGGAAAAACATTGCACACAGACTTCTCTAAAGAGAGAGGTGGAGCCTGGGCAGCTCTTGGTCTCATGGCCTAAAGCAGTCAGGAAACATAAGATTTCCTTGACATTAAATGCTTTCATTGGGCTGATTTTTTAAAGGAATAACCATTAATACAACACATCTGCTGCAGTGCCCTGCAGAATCTCTGGGGTTTTCAGGCTAACACAGATTTTGCTTTCCAAGAGTCACAGTTTTATCTGCCTTTTAAATAGCTGTTTGCTTTCCCCTTGAGTAGACACTGTGGCCTCTGAGCCAGAACCCCCCTGTGGCTCTGGACACATCTCCTACCCTCTTCATCTCCTGTGCTTTGGATGGGAGCACCACCACACACCCAGAAGATGTTGGTGTGCTCTGGGGGTTTGGCTGCACGTGGGGGGAGTGAAGCAACCCCAAATGCAGGAGGCTGATGTGTTGTTCACTGTCAAGTTAATGCTCATTTTCCTCACGTGGATTTGAGCACTGAGTCAAGCACTAACCTGAAATGAAGTGCTGTAAAACTGGGACAGCTTCCTGGGCAGCAGCAGTGGTGCTTCAGTTTGCCCTCCCACTGGGGTCAGGGCACGAGCTGTTCTGTACCCCAGAGATGAGTGGGATCAAGGGCAGAGCAGGCTGCAGAGCTTGACTTTGGTTAGGGTGGGACTGGGGGGTTCCCCCCAGCAGTTCTGAACAAAGGCAGCTCCAGACACTTAGGGAGCTCAGCACGTTGGAATTTGATTTTATGGATTGACACGGATTTCATTCAACACAGGGATTTGCATAAAATGGCTAATGGTTTATGCTGTGATAATACAAAAGTCAATAACAGTGTCGAGGGGAAAAAAGGACAGATCAGTGTAGAATGAGAATGCCTGCCAGGAATCTCGCCACCTAGAGAGGCAAGGCTGGGGGAAAGAGTTCCTGCTGCTGGCACAGGGCAGAAGCCACAGATAACACAGCAGAAAGGTGCCACCTGCAAAGTGAGCAGTGACTGTGTGCCACCCCAAGGGAAGGGTGTGACATGTGGGGAAAAAGGGAACCATAGTGAAAAAAAGAGGTTTTATCTGAATAATAAGGCAGGAAGCTTGGGCTTATTTATCTGCTTTTGAATTTTAATGATCAGTTCGAGTGATAATTACAGAATTTCTATATTTATACAGAACCAGCACATAAAATAGCACAATTTGATATTTATGAAGTGCCAGTTTTCCATAAATACAGAGATTTGTTAATGAGCACTGGGAACTATTCATTAAAATTCAGAAGTAGATAAATAATGAATAGGAATTGCTGTTTATTCATTAAAATCCTTAAAAAAAAAAAAGGCAAAGAAAAAATATCTCCTCACTTATTGTTGATGAATCCAGCCTGTTTTATAAGTGATTTGTTTTAATTAATGCCATTTGACAATATTAGTGCCAAAATAGCAGAGAGTCACTCACACATTGCAGGCTGTAAGTAGGTCTGCTTTAAAGCATCTGAGGCCATGGAATAAACAAATCTGGGCCCAAAATGAATATTCCTGACTGTCTCAGCCATCAGTGCATCCCCACTTGGGAAGGAAGGGTCAGTCAGTCAATGCCTGAGTGATGTGGGTCCCCATGGACTGCAGCTTCTGCAGGGATTTCTGTGCTGCTTCTGAGGGAGGATTTATCCTTCTTCAAAGGAGGGCCTTGCTGGGGAAATCTCAACAGAACAGTACATTTCAAAGGAAAGGCACAGTTTGAATTTGGTACAGGTCATAGGGTTTGTGTCAACCTATCTGCAAACTCAGCCAAAGATAAGTTTGGTTATATTCAGGTCCTTAGCTTTCAAAACTCACTTGAGAACTTCAGAACTGACAGCTGTTCTTCTCAGGAGATGAGAACTTGGCCCAGATTTGAGGTCTAGGTTGTGGCATTGCCTTTTAGGACCCTCTGCCCTGGTTTGTGAAGGGTGGGGAACATCTCTGCCATGGATGCCTTGATGTGGAGATGGGCAAGGACACTGTGCTGGGGCCAAGGGGTTTCACACCTTTCTGGTGGGAGCCCTGGGCACTTCAGGTTGTCCAGGGGCATGGCTGGTGGAATGGTGTTGGAAGGAAAATGGGCATGTGTGAAACATCCCTTCACACCACATGGATGCACCCCTGGCAGAGTTACCTGCTAACTGGGATTTGTGTAATTGCAGGATGAGGAATGGTTCTGTGTGCTTGGAAACCTGGATGTTTCTGCTGTGGAGCTGACCATAGATCAGCATTCAGACCACTGGAAAATCTGGACCAACATGATGTTGCAACCAGGGCACAGGCTGCCAGGAAGCAAACCTCCAGACAAAGCCCTTCATTTGTAGCAGTCCTTTCCTTCCTCCACCTGTTTTGTGCCCTTTTATTGCTTTGTTCCATACATAAACTTGTGCTTTTACACTCTTTGAAGTGTCCTGCATGGTGTGGAGGTGGCAGCTCTGAATGCTGATGAATCTCTGGAAGCCTCAGCAGTGTTTTGTTGGTTTGGGGGTCTTTGGGAGAGCTCACCCCCTTCTCCACAGCCAGCCCAGGAGCATGGGGCAGAGCTGGGGGTTTTTCCCTGCTGGATTTGGGGTTGCTGGATCAGCACAGGCTACCTTGTCTCTGCCTCTTGCTGTGGAGTATAAAAGGAAAAGCAATCCTGTCAGTGGTGTAACTGTCAGGAACACAAAGTAAAGGGTTGTCAGGGAGAACATGGAATTGGAAATGAGGATGCAGGGGCCCCTTTAAAAGAGTTTCTTGTCTCTTTTTGAAACTAAGACAGACAAAATGGGCTTTAGGATATTAAAAAGGGTCTTAACGGCATTTGTGCTGTAAAAGGTCCCCTCTCCACTTTTCATTCCTTCTGTCACTCCTTGACCTCTTGTCTTTTCCCTAAAGTTGGATTTAAAACAATAAAATGGGGGGGGGTATATAAAAATACCAAATTGACTCCTGTGGGGAACAGAATTAATTCTACTCGGGAGCAGAAAACGAAACCCAGAAGCATCAAAGCGTAGACATAAATTCAATATCCCACTGAGCCCATCACTTAGGGCACTTCACCCTTTTGTGCATGTCTATCTTTCAATCAAATGTAGATGTGGGGAAAGGGTTTGTTTTAGTTTAGCCTGGTGCTACACAAGCAGAAAGGAAAGAGCAGCAGTTGCTGTCTGTTTGCTGCGTGAGGTTTATAATTTCACAAATGCCAGATGCATTAATCCAAGCTGTCATGTTGCAGCTCTGTTTGTAGATCAAATGGGATTAAAAGATTTAGTTGAAGCTTTCCTGATACATTTAAATAATATGACTAGAAATGTAATATTCAGGAAAATAAATATTTTAGAGGTACAGTTTGAGGCACCTGATGTATTAACACCTGCTGTAACAAAAAGGAACAGAAAAGACATGGTCAAAATTCTGCAAAACATGCCACTAACTCACTCTGTGTTAGCACCAGGTGTGTGGCCTGACCCTGGCTCTGGCATGGCTGGGTGTTCTCACCTATGGAAATCCAACTAATTGCTTTAGTGCAATTATTCCTGTGCAGGGCTCAGTGTTAGGGATACACTTACACACTTTGCTGGAAAGGATTTTTGAAAATTCCTGCAGTACTGTGTCTGTTTCTTCCCTTTTTCTTCCCCTGACATACCCACTGCTGATTACCTCTTATGTGGGAGAACCAGCTTAATCTATTGTCTCTTTTTGCCCAATGATGTCTGTTTTTTTAAAAAACTCCTCTTTTTAGTGGTGGAATTTCCCAGAAGTAGGACATCCAGTGCACAAGTTTTGTTGAGCAGGAGCAGCATGGACCACATGACTGAATAAAGAGCTGTTATAAAATACCTATTTAGGACTGAGTTATCCTGCAGCCAGGAGCTGTGCTTGCAGCACGAACAGAGGCATCCAGAGCTGCTCCTCTTTTGGTCTTGTGCAGGTGAGTGGGACAGCAGGGAGGAGACCTCTGCTCTGTGGCTGTGGGCAGCCTGCAGTGGTCACTGCCATGAATTGCACCATCTTGTCAGCTTGACATTAAAATGACAGCAAAATAATTTCAAGCATGTTTTCATAAAATCACAGAGTCACAGGATATCCTGGGATGGAAGGAGCCACAGGGACCAGTGAGCTCAACCCCTGACCCTGCACAGACACCCCAACAATCCCAGCCTGGGCATCCCTGGAGCTGCTGGAGCTCTGGCAGCCTCGGGGCCGTGCCCATTCCCTGGGCAGCCTGGGCAGTGCCAGCACCCTCTGGGGGAAGAACCTTTCCTGAAATCCAACCTAAACCTGCCCTGGCACGGCTCCAGCCATTCCCTTGGTCATTGAGACATGTCAAGGGCATATACTGATGACATAGAGAGAAGGGCAGAAATGTGCCACGGCTCCGCCTGTAGCAGCTACACCAGGTTGCAGCACTGCTCTTTGGTTAGGCCTGTAGTAGGTACACCAGCTGGTAGCAGTGCTGCTCACTCGGTGCCAGGGTTTAGTTGAGGTGTCAGGGAACAGGTTGGACTCGATGATCTTGAAAGTCTCTTCCAACCTTCTGATTCTGTGGTTCTGTGATTCTTTGGTTAGGCCTGTAGCAGATACACCAGCTTGCAGCTGTGCCCTTTGGTTAGGCCTGTAGTAGGTACACCAGCTTGCTTTCATTACACCTGTAGTAGGCACACCAGGTTGCAGCACTGCTCTTTGCTCAGGCAGCTGTACTGCCCACCCAGGAGCAGCTCTGACATGGGCTGTTAAGCGTGAGCAGGAAGATGTCAAACAAAGCTTTGGCAGCGTGGCTGAGCAGACATGGTTGCTCTTTCTGAGCCCACAGGGAGGAAGGGAGTTTGTGCTGAGATGGTGAGGAGCCCTAGAAGAGAAGAAATAGGTACAGGCTGGCCATCAATAAACCAGAAACCACAGGCTACTGCAGGAAGGAACTTGTGGAGCAGCAGCAGTGTGGGATGTGCACTTACCCAGTCCTATAAGAAAGCTTCTCTGTTTCTGACAGGGTTTGGCTGCCAGGGCTGCTGCCTGCAGTGGCAGGAGCCTGGACGCACAGGCACAGGAGGCTGGAGTTCATTATCCCTGTTATGAACAAGTTTATCGGTTAACTCTGTTAATCAACAGTTACCATGTTTGTTGGTTGTTAAATGTTAATCACCAGGGTGAATGCATTGATTCTGTTAATTACCAATATTGTTGGTCACCCTGCCCAGCGGTCCCTTACCTGTACCCCTTTTGTCTGTCGAGTATTATCTCTGCTGCTTCCCAAAAGGCCCTAGCTATAAAGAAGGTGATGTCACAGGCCTATATGTAAATTGAGAGACATCAGAGAATAACACTGAGAGACATGAGAATAACATCCTAAAAAGATAAGCCAACCTGCAGTACAAGAGACTAAGTGACCTGTCCTGTTTGAGAACTGTCCTATTCTGTCGGCATAATTCCAGGTTGTCACCATGACCTGACAAGAACTGGAACAGGGTGAGGACCTCGGACAGTGAGCTCAAAAGTTTCTGCCTAGGCATGCTGGTGAGGATGGAACCCCCAGCTCTGCTATACAGAAAAGCTGCTTGCCTCATGCTCCATGCTACCAAAGGGAGCAGCAGTCCCCTCAGGCCCCCACCCAGAGCTGATTTCATAATAAAGGTATTGTAAATCAAAGGCGACTCCCACGAGGGGAGAGAATGATGCATCTCACTCCAGCTTATCAGAAGGCTAATTAATTACTTTATTATACTGTACTATATACATTTCATCTAGACTGATCTGCCTTGCACTCACTCTGCACACAACTGCACAGAACTGCACTCATCATCCAATTCTCTCGATTCTCTCATGACTGTCTCGTGACAGTCTCACACACATACACATTCTCCTGGCCCTGATAGGCCAAGGAAACAAAACATCCCCACTTTGGGTAAACAATCTCCATATTGCATTCTGCTAGGGCACAACACAGGCACAGCAAGTGATAAGAATTGTGTTTTCCCTCTTTCTGTGGTTCAGAGAATGAGAATCTCAGAAATATTCTTGGGAAGAATTGTGCCTTGCTTTTCTCCATGAAGAGAATGTGGCAACATAACGGAGTCAAAAAGGAGCAGGTGTCCTTGCCCATTTATTTCAATCCCCAGTCCAGTGCAGCCAGCTGGGGGCTGTTCACCTTGCCTGGGACAAAGTTTGCCAAACAGTGCCTGGAAGGTGAAATCAAAGCAGGCTGTAGGATGGGGGAGGTTTCTGCAGAGATAAGCACCAAGCTGTGAGAAAAAGAGGTTTGTTTAGCATTTCTGGATATTGTGGCAGTAGCAATTATGTACTGGGCTGAGAAAAGAACTGCTGGCACCTTGGTACTCATGGCTGTGCCTTGTTCTTCAGTGTCATCAGGATCATCTAAAGGTGTCAGCATGGTCTTCACCAGGGTCTGGGTGCAAGTGCTGTTAATTCAATGTCAATACTACTTTTTTTGAAAGAACCTTCCTCTTTTGGCTCTTCACCCTGCCAGTCTCCCACTTGAGACAGTCCAGCAGAGAATGAAATGAAGGTTAAAAAGCTTGTTTGCTTTCATTTGAAGAAAAACTTGTGAAACTTTGGGCAGAAAAAAACATTTCCATTTTAACATCTGCTTTTCCCTTTGTCAATGTGTGGCATGGTAATTCATACAAACGTGGCATTTATATTTTGATTTTTTAAAATCAAGACTCAGCTTAGCAAGGGCCCAGATTCTTGGTAATTTTGAGGTTTGGATGATGTTTTCTCCCTCCCACACCACACCAACCTATCTTCCCAGGCAGATGCAGTCACTAGGTCATTTCATGTCCCATTGTACTGTTTAATACTTTATAAACCACCTGTCTCTTAAAGTACATCATACATATGAAATGGAAATTTCCTTCTGATTTTTGTTCTCAACAAAACAGAGGACACAAATCAAAAACAAACTTATAGGCCCTGTATCTTGCATGGCACAAAATTGTTCCATCTTGTACCTTCAGATTTTTTTCCCCACCACTCTGAAACTCTCTTACGTACTGACACAGTGAGAACTACAAGCTGTGAAAAATCAGTATTTATGTTATATATTTTTGACAAGCCCTGGTATTATCCAGGGAACAATCCATTACTTACATACCGAGAGATGAGAGCATGTGCCTTTAACTCATGTTAACTCACCATGATTTCAAATATAAACACTTCACAGAAGTGGGTGAGGAGAATTGAAGGCATTAGAATTCTGTCATGTCCAGTTACAGTCAACCTTCACACTGGAGTCTACTTCTCAAAATAAAGAACAGTGGGGTTTTGATCCAGTCAGTTTTGGCTGAGCTAGAGAGCTGTTTTGCTATTGAAAGATTTCAAAGAAACTGCTTTTTATTGCAAAATATTTTCCAGGAGGGAAATATTTTAAGGAACTGCTAGATCCTAAGTTAGATCCAATTATAAGAACAACTGGTTACCTGGGACCAGATTTGGATAAGCCTAAAGGACAGAAGCCTAGATGGATTTCTGGACACACAAAGATAGCCAGGTCTCTGGTGAAATTAGAGTTTGTTTCC